TCTTCTGGGATGGTGACAGGATCCCTGCCGGGTCTTCTGGGATGGTGACAGGATCCCTGCCGGGTCTTCTGGGATGGTGACAGGATCCCCACCAAGTCACCTGGGATGATGGCAGGATGCTTGCCAAGTCATCTGGGATGGTAGCAGGATCCCTGCCAGGTCTTCTATGTTGTGGGACGGTAGCAGGATCCCTGCTGGGTTTTCTGGGATGGTGGCAGGATCCCCACCAAGTCACCTAGGATGATGGCAGGATGCTTGCTAAGTCATCTGGGGTGGTAGCAGGATCCCTGCCAGGTCATCTATGCTGTAGGATGATCGCAGAATCTCTGCCAGGTCTAACATACACAAGTGCAATACAGTGCAGTTACAGTACTCACAAGAACCCTACCAGGTCTTCTCGGATGGTGGCAAGATCCCTGCCGGGTCTTCTGGGATGGTGGCAAGATCCCTGCCGGGTCTTCTGGGATGGTGGCAAGATCCCTGCCGGGTCTTCTGAGTTGGTGGCAAGATCCCTGCCAGGTCCTCTTGGATGGTGGCAAGATCCCTGCCAGGTCTTCTGGGATGATGGCAGGATGCTTGCCAAGTCATCTGGGATGATGGAAGGATGCTTGCCAAGTCATCTGGGATGGTAGCAGGATCCCTGCCAAGTCTTCTATGTTGTGGGACGGTAGCAGGATCCCTGCTGGGTCTTCTGGGATGGTGGCAAGATCTCTGCCGGATCTTCTGGAATGGTGGCAGGATCCCTGCCGGGTCTTCTGGGATGGTGACAGGATCCCTGCCGGGTCTTCTGGGATGGTGACAGGATCCCTGCCGGGTCTTCTGGGATGGTGACAGGATCCCCACCAAGTCACCTGGGATGATGGCAGGATGCTTGCCAAGTCATCTGGGATGGTAGCAGGATCCCTGCCAGGTCTTCTATGTTGTGGGACGGTAGCAGGATCCCTGCTGGGTTTTCTGGGATGGTGGCAGGATCCCCACCAAGTCACCTAGGATGATGGCAGGATGCTTGCTAAGTCATCTGGGGTGGTAGCAGGATCCCTGCCAGGTCATCTATGCTGTAGGATGATCGCAGAATCTCTGCCAGGTCTTCTAGGACGGTCATTAACATACACAAGTGCTCTACAGTGCAGTTACAGTACTCACAAGAACCCTGCTGGGTCTTCTGGGATGGTGGCAAGATCGCTGCCAGGTCTTCTGGGATGGTGGCAGGATCCCTGCCGGGTCTTCTGAGATTGTGGTAGGATCCCTGCCGGGTCTTCTGGGATGGTGGCAGGATCCCTGCCGGGTCTTCTGGGATGGTGGCAAGATCTCTGCCGGATCTTCTGGGATGGTGGCAGGATCCCTGCCGGGTCTTCTGGGATGGTGACCGGATCCCTGCCGGGTCTTCTGGGATGGTGACAGGATCCCTGCCGGGTTTTCTGGGGTGGTGACAGGATCCCTGCCGGGTCTTCTGGGATGGTGGCAGAATCCCTGCAAGGTCTTCTATGCTGTAGGCTGATCAAATGATCACCAGGTCTGCTGGGATGGTGGCAGGATCCCTGCCTGGGTTTTCTGGGATTGTCATAGGATCCCTTCTGGGATGGTGTCAGGATGCCTGCTGGGGCATCTGGGATGGTGGCAGGATCCTCACCAAGTAATTTGGGATGGTGGCAGAATCCCTGCCATATCTTCTATGTTGTAGGCTGATCACATGATCTCCACCAGGTCTTCTAGGATGGTAGCAGGATCCTCACCATGTAATTTGGGATGGTGGCAGAATCCCTGCCATATCTTCTATGCTGTAGGCTGATCACATGATCTCCACCAGGTCTTCTAGGATGGTGGCAGAATCCCTGCCATATCTTCTATGTTGTAGGCTGATCACATGATCTCCACCAGGTCTTCTAGGATGGTGGCAGAATCCCTGCCATATCTTCTATGTTGTAGGCTGATCACATGATCTCCACCAGGTCTTCTAGGATGGTAGCAGGATCCTCACCATGTAATTTGGGATGGTGGCAGAATCCCTGCCATATCTTCTATGCTGTAGGCTGATCACATGATCTCCACCAGGTCTTCTAGGATGGTGGCAGGTTCCCTGCTAGGTCTTCTGGAATGGTCGCAGGACCCCTGCCAGGGTGGTGGTGGGACACAAGGCAGCCATAACGTCAGTGTATTGGAAGATTTTGTAGGGAAGGGATAGGGAAGGCTGACAGACTGCATAGAGAGAGATCAGGGTCACACAGGAAACTCATTTATTTCTGATGAACAATTCTGTGGGGCAATCAACCCCTTTGCTGCTTTTTGTGTTCCTGTTTTTGCCTTTCATTTTATTCTGTCATTGATTTGAGGTCAGCAGTCATTTCTAGTTACTCTCCCGACCAATGCAAACTTAAGGCTTCCCTGGGGGTAAAGGAGGGGTATTTTGAGGTTTTCATTTCGTAACTTTAGTTTATTTTTTATTTTTATTGTTGGCTGTTGGGGTTTTTTTTTTTTTATAGTTTGGGTTGGTGATAGATGATCATTCAGAAGGCCATGGTGAAGATGGTCATCTGTTCTTGGAGCAGTCTTTTCTTCACAATACACAGCTACACCATTTGAAAGGAAAAAAAAAAACAAAAAAAATAAGTTTAAGAACAGTGTTCATGTCAGGCTCCGCCCAACGGGATCTCTAGTGGTCCACAGCAAGGGATTTCCCAGGACGCGGAGTCTAAGTCCCAGTCTGCCTTTTCACCAGAGCCCCTGATGGTGGGGATGGACTTGGTGCAAGACTGGAACCAGGTCGCATCCCTGGGCACCCCCGGCGGTGGTAGAGGGGTCCCGCTGAGGGTATGTGCCTGGGATGAGCCTGCTGTGAAGGGACTGACAGGTCCCGATCCGAGCAGGATGGATGGATGACTGCTAGGAGTGAGCGAGGTCAGACTAGCCGGGTCGGTAACAGTGGGGACAGGTGCGGTACCAAGCAGCAGGCAAAGAGTAGTCAGGTCACACGCCGGGTTCAGTAACAGAGGGTCCAAAATAACAGTAACTACAGGCAGAAGAATGGTCAGGGACGAGCCGGGGTCAGAGCAGGAGAGGGTCAGCATAAATCGGAACAGGCAGAGTTTGGCAACAAGGAAACGAACTAACAGGAACAAGACCTTGCGGCAATTTGGAGATGCACAGGGCAGGTTTAAATAGGGCGCCCTGTTCTCCCATTGGTGCGGCCGCGATCGCTAGTGCGCATGCGCAGCCGCCGCCGCGATCACCAAGAACTCTGTGCTTGGCGGCTCGGACGAATCGGCAATCTGCGCATGCGCGCACCGCCGAGCGCCCGGGATCCCTGACAGTTCATCTTTTAAACCCCTCGCTTGAGAACCTTTAAAGGACTCCTTGAGGACGTCTAATGGGTCAAAACACGTTGGGGTGGAGGCTGTGCCGCCGTCATCCCACGTGCTGGAGCTAGAGGTGGTGGGGAACTTTTGATGTGCCCTTTACACACATAGGATTGGAAGTAGATCTACAGTTTATAGACTATTAAAGCTGGCAGGTTTATACTATGGGATGTTGTCATCGGGTTTCTCTTGTCCTTGTATGCGATTCCCATGTCCTAGGATACATTTTGCTGCACCAGATCCCATGTATTTGTGAGTGCATTAAGACCACTTATAATTTGGAGTCTTTCCAACTGGTAAGAGGCCGTGTGTGGCAATGGTGGGGAACTCACCGGGAGATTTTGATTTGATTTGCAGAAGTCACTTGGATGGACTTTTGTTGGGACTATATATGTTACAACACAGAACAATATTTCGCACTGGAGGTGTTGACACATTATTGATTTATTTATTTCATGTTTTATTAGTTATCTGAATATTTTATTTAGATTTTTTTAAAATTCACTTGAATTACATAAAAGGAACAGCGCAACAATATTGCTAAGTTTATCTATGCCAACTCATGGGGCCCCTGGGCAATAGGGCATCATTGGGCCCCTGTGTCCTTGTCTACACTCAAACCACACCCAAAAAAGCCTATGAAAGGTACCAGGGGCATCTCATGGGGCCCCCTACTGACCCCGAGCCCTCAGGCAGTGCCCGATTTCCTAAACGGTCAGTCCGCACTTAATCTATGCACTTCTATTTTGATGTTTTTTGAGAGCTACTCTACATATATAATTTTTTTTATACATTTTTTAAATAGTGCACCAAACACAGCTTTCTTTAGTTTAATAACCTCAATATATCGCTCCCATTCAATGCGCTCCTCTAGAACCATAGGTCAAATAAAAGTTAGGCATGCATAGGTTAGGCCTATTACTCTGTTTCTAGTAAATTTGGAATTGTGTCGGGCTGCTCACAAATGTTACACTGCTGTATTATTTGAAATCTCTTAAAAACTAAGTGTTACTAAACCCAGGACCCCACATTCACTGTATCGGCTCTCCCCAGACCCTGCATTCACTGTATCGGCTCTCCCCGGACCCCGCATTCACTGTATCGGCTCTCCCCGGACCCCGCATTCACCGTATCGGCTCTCCTCGGACCCCGCATTCACTGTATCCGCTCTCCCCGGACCCCGCATTCACTGTATCACATCTCCCCGGACCCGGCATTCACCGTGTCTGCTCTCCCCGTACTCGGCATTCACAGCGTCCGCTCTCCCTGAACCCGGCATTCACTGTATCACGTCTCCCCAGCCCCTGCATTCACCGTATCCGCTCCCCCGGACCCGACATTCACCATATCCGCTCTCCCAGGACCCCGCATTCACTATATCCGCTCTCCCCGGACCCCGCATTCACTATATCCGCTCTCCCCGGACCCCGCATTCACTATATCCGCTCTCCCACAGTACACAGAACATGGAAATGCAATTATTTTAGTAACTATAAACTGCTAAATACCTTTTCCCATCAGCAGTATATAGCAATCTTGTGATTTCTATCCGTGTCCAGCACTGGTTAAAGCTTGCAGGAGGAGTTTTCATTCTCGCCTGATTGTCCTATGAGGCTGCAAGACCACTGACCCTCTGTCTGGACAGTGTTGATTGGCCCTGTGCTGATCACATGTACCCTCACAAGAGCTTAAAAAAAATTCTCTCCAGTACACACCAAACTGAACATGTGCAGCTTGCCTCCAAGCCTCTGTCCTATCAGGAGATATATTGGGGACAGTAGAAGAAGGAGAGGATCAGAGAAGAAAGGATCAAACTTTTTTTTTTTTTACACAATGCGGAGGATTATTATTATACATGATTTATATGGCGCCAACAGTTTGCTCAGCGCTTTACAATATAACGGGAGACAATACAGCAACAATACAGTTCAATATAAGAGGGATAGGAGGGCCCTGATCCTGGGAGCTTAGGATTAACCCCTTAGGTTCCACAGTGAGTATAACAAGCATGCCTGATTTGATGGTTGTGGGTTTAGGAACACTTCAAGAAGAGGGTTCACCTAACTCCCTCATATTATATCACTCAAGTTCAATGCACCCTCACATCTCCACAGATCAGATAAAAGTAAGGTATACACCAGTTAGGTCCTATTGATCTTTGTCGCTAGTACATTTGGGTCTAGCCTTGCTCATTAAATTTGTCTTGCTACTGGCAAATGTACATTGCTGTATTAGCTGCAGTTTCTGCACACTCACATTCAATGCCATTATATTCTATTCAATGCCATTCTATTGACATTCTATTCCCAAAGATAAAATCAAATTTAGGCATACACTAGTTACGGCAATTGCTTTTTGTCTTCAGTACATTCAGGCTTAGCCTTGCTAATCAAACTTGTCTTTCCGCTGGACAATTTTACACTGCTGTATTAATTCTTGACGAAAATTTGCTAGAAAAATCTGCATGTTGTCCCTTCACTACTCCACAACCGATGGGAAAAAGACAAGCTAGGGAGTTCCAGGCAAGCCATGTGGGCTAACTCCATGCAGATATCAACCTGATCAGAACCAAAAAAAAAAAAAAACCTCACGACCTCCGGATGATACCACTATTGTCCAGAAATGTGCCTCCAATTCCTGTATAGTGAAAGTGACACATAATTTACACCAATGTTTTCGGGTGCCAAATATGAAGCCTTTGATGGCCTGCAACCCAATCAGCAAAGGAAACGGTATTATAGGTTTCCTCTGCAGATTCCAGAAGTTTCTTCCACCGACTATGAAACATCAGCTTCTGAACGTCCTGCCAAGATGCCGTCCAGAGGCCTGGTACATTACAATGGTTGGCAATCATTCAACCCCCTCCCCCTCCATTATTTTCCTTTTCAGTATTTTGTAGCTACGACCCCCTGACCTTCCTGTTGGTACCATTGCCCAGTAGAAAACCTTCGGCAAATCAACACGTTGCATTCAAGACACAAAGAGAGGAAAAGAGTTGTAAAAATGACCACAAACCTCTGCTGGGGACCTGGGAACCCCCTGGTGACTCATTTCAGAAGGATTCCCATACGAAGTGGTTTTCATAGCTCAAAAAATGACACACAAATGCTAGCCATCCGTAGATTTAAAGGGGCACTCCGCTCAAGGATGATATTTTCATTCTTAGTGGGTGTTGGAGACTTAAAACACCCCAACAGATTCTTCTTTCTCTTGGGGAACGCCAATGGCGAAATCTCCGCATGGAGCTCCAGGGATTGTACACTTGGCTTCATCAGGAGGGTGTATCCAATCTCACGTGTCGTAACTTCATCTGCTGAGCTCTTCCTGAACTCTGTGTGCTGCTTAAATGCTCCCTTTACCCCCCGAAGGTTGGACCCTTCACTTGTTGCATTCCAGACACAAAGAGAGGAAGAGAGTTGTAAAAATGACCACAAACCTCTGCTGTGGACCTGGGAACCCCCTGGTGACTCATTTCAGAAGGATTCCCATACAAAGTGGTTTTCATAGCTCAAGAAATGACACACAAATGCTAGCCATCTGTAGATTTAAAGGGGCACTCCGCTCAAGGATGATATTTCATTCTTCGTGGGTGTTGGAGACTTAAAACCCCCCAACAGATTCTTCTTTCTTTTGGGGAACGCCAATGGCGAAATCTCTGCATGGAGCTCCTGGGATTGTACACTTGGCTTCATCAGGAGGGTGTATCCAATCTCACGTGTCGTAACTTCATCTGCTGAGCTCTTCCTGAACTCTGTGTGCTGCTTTAATGCTCCCTTTACCCCCCCCCCCCCCCCGAAGGTTGGAACCTCATCAGGAGGGCGTATCTATTTTCACGTGGCATAGCTTCATCTGCTGAACTCTGTGTGCTGCTTTAATGCTCCCTTTACCCCCCCGAAGGTTGGAACCTTCACTCACTTCACCTCCTTGCCCACAAGTTACTGCTGTGATTATTTTTATTTATTTCAGGTACTATATAGTGCTTTACATATACATTGTACATTCCCATCAGTCCCCGCCCCCGAGGAGCGTACAATCTAAGGTCCCTCACTCACATTCATACATACACATACTAGAGACAATTTAGACAGGAGCCAATTAACCTACCAGCATGTCTTTGGAGTGTGGGAGGAAACCGGAGTACCCAGAGGAAACCCACGCAGGCACAGGGAGAACATGCAAACTCCAGGCAGGTGGTGCCATGGTTGGGATTCGAACCAACGACCTGAGTACTGCCAGGCGGAAGTGCTAACCACTTAGCCACTGTGCTGCCCCCATTATGGACTTTCCATCCATTTTCCAAACCCAACACCTTAGTATGTAACAGGGGTGGACGGACCATTTGGAAACTCGGGCACTGCCCGAGGGCCTGGGGTCAGTAAGGGGCCCCATGATGCCCCTGGTACCTTTTTCATAGGCTTTTTTGAGTTTGGGCAAGGACACGGGGGGGCCCCATGATCCCCTATTGCCTGGGGGCCCCATGAGTTGTCAGTCCACCCCTGGAATGTAATATGATACTATCAGACTATTGGCGGCACCATGGGCTTGCAAAAGGGTTGTGCGTTGTGTGAATGCTTGCATTGCACAAATGTGAACCTAGTCCCAAGGTCCTGTTCATATGTGTGGCAAGTGGGCATCAAAACAGGCGCTAATGTGCATATTTACCACCCCCCAGATCATCTGTCTACAACCTGGTGGGCTACTCAGGTCCGTTCAGATTGCCATGGTCGCAATGCTTCATGGGGCAGCCATTTTTCTCGCCATGTCATGTTTGCCAGTCATTCTGGTTGCCAGATGTGCTATTAAAATGGTTCTAAAGTCTTTTTTTTTTTAGTAATGTTGGTGAAAACACGAACGGGAACGGCTGTTTGCCCGCCACGCCCCACAATGCACTGCGCTCTGACAGTGCATTATGATTGGCCAAAGCAATGCACCTGACCACTCTGCGATACTCTGTGTGCTCTGACTCCTTCCCATCAGAACCAGCCAGGGGCGGACTGACCATTTGGAAACTCGGCACTGCCCGAGGGCCCGGGGTCAGTAGGGGGCCCCATGAGATGCCCCTGGTACCTTCTTTATAGGCTTTTTTGAGTTTGGGCAAGGACACATGGGCCCCATGATCCCCTATTGCCCGGGGGGCCCCATGAGTTGTCAGTCCGCCCCTGGAACCAGCATTCACTTTTTCAACAATTTGAGCTCCAGTAGCTCTTCTATTGGATTGGACTACACAGACCATCCTTTGCACCATCAATGAGCCTTGGCCGCCCATGACCCTGTCACCGGTTGGCCGGTTCTCCTTCCTTGAACCTATGGGGGGGGGGAAGGGTTGGGGGTGGGAGGGGTATGGAGTTTTTTACGTTTGGTCGGTCCTGACTACTGCAGACTGGGAACATCCCACAAGAGCTGCAGTTATGGAGTTGCTCTTCCCAGTCATCTAGACGTTACAATTTGGTATTCAAATCTTGTTTTTTCAGCTGTCAACGCATCAACTTCAAGGACAACATGTTCACTTGCTGCCTGATACATCCCACCCACTTTCAGATGCCATTGTAATGAGATACTCAATGCTAATCACTTGACCTGTCAGTGGTGGATTTAGGTTTCGTGCTGCCCTAGGCAACACAAGAATCCCCCCCCCCCCCACAGAGAAGCCCTGACATGGACCAACACCCCCCTCCCCCATGAAGAGTGCCTAACATTGACCAACAACACCCCAGCCCCCCCACCCCCCCCACCAGGGAGAGCCTTCTACTACCACCACCCCCTATACACTGGCAACCCCCCCCCCCCCCAGCGAGAGAGAAGACACTCACCTTCACAGCTTCGGGCATCCCTGGGAACAAGAGTCCAGCTCTGCATACACCATCAAGCAGCCTCCCTCAGATCCCACCTGGTCCCCATGCTGTGTGCGTCTCTTCTTCCATCCCTTCTTTAAGGGGGTGGCGCTGCCCCCCTGAAAGATGCCGCCCTAGGCAAATGCCTTGTTTGCCTTGTGGTAAATACACCCCTGCCCGGTGATAGAGAAGACACTCATCTTCACAGCTCCGGACATCCCCGGGAACGAGAGTCGGGCTCTACATACACCATCAAGCAGCCCGTAGCCTCTCTCAGATCCTACTTGGTCCCCACCCTGCGTGCGTCTCTTCCTTCATCCCTTCTTTAGGGGAGTGGCGCTGCCCCCTAAAAAGATGCCGCTGCCCCCCTGAAAGATGCCGCCCTAGGCAAACGCCTTGTTTGCCTTGTTGTAAATAGGCCCCTGCCCGGTGATACTGAAACTCATCTTCACAGCTCCGGACATCCCCGGGAATGAGAGTCAGGCTCTACATACACCATCAAGCAGCCCCTCTCGGATCCCACCTGTTCCCTATGCTGTGTGTGTCCTTTCTTCCATCCCTTCTTTAGGGGAGTGGAACTGCCCCCCTGAAAGATGCTGCTGCCCCCCTGAAAGATACCGCCCTAGGCAAACGCCTTGTTTGCCT